AATAAAACTGGGAAAAGGAAGGAAAAGTGCGGATGGAGAGCTGAATCCTGATGTACTCACTGAGCCCTGTTCCACGCTGTACTAGGCGCAGCTGGAGGATTTAAGGTTGTGCTGAGACCATGGCTGCCGATAACGGGAGTTTGTGAATCCTGCACCCTTAATACAGCACACTGACCAGTGGATCCAAGAGGAAAAGCTGTATTGGCTTTTGGCAACTGCTGGAAATTGAGACCTGGGAGCCCACGAAGCAGCCAGGGCTGCCTGGTTGTGCCAGAGGAGACTTCGAGAAGCTCTGGAGCTCTGAAGCCAGACATCGTGCAGTTTTCTGACTGATCCACACTGTGCCAGGAATGCAGTGAGGGCAAGTGGTGCAGTGTACAGTGGACCCAAGAGGAAGATCTGCATTGAGTCCCGGTGAGTACTAGGGACTGGGTCCAGTGGCTGCTGTCACTGGCTGGAGGACATCTTGAAATTGGGCAGAGCCCACCACCAGGACAGCATCAGCGACACAGAGTGGACTGGTGGAGGACATCTTGGAATTGGGCAGACCTGGCACAGCAGAGACATCAGATAGTTGCTCCTGGCACAGAGAGGTCTGGTAGAGGACAGCTGGGATCTGGGCAGAGCTCTGTGCCGCAGTGACATTAGTTAGCCACTTCTGGTGCAGAGAGAACTGGCAGGATCTGTTGGGGCTGAGCCACGCCTCTGGTTGGGACCCAATAAGCAGATACAAAATAGTTGTGACTCTGTGACATTCACAAGGTACAGCCTAACTTGCAGATTGACTGGCACAGAGGCTGGAGGCTAGCCTGCACCCTGCCTACCTCAGATAATAGCAAATTGAGGAGGGCAGCAAAAACTCAAGTCAGCATGCTTTGGAAAGGCCCTAAGCAATATGGAGAGGGCCAGAGATCCCAGGACACTCCAGTCTGAAAGACACCAGAAACATGACAAGAGATAGAAATAAAAAAAAAAATCTCCAGCTGCCAAACGTGAGAAAATAAGCCCAGGAGAAGTAAACACAGAAGAGAACCTGCACAGTAACCATCCAATACTAGACACAGCATCAGCTGAAATAAAGAAATACCTTCATGACCTCATAGATGAATTTAAAACTGTACTTCTGATCCAAATGAGGCAAGATATAAATAGATTTATCAAAGAAATGATAAGCCCCACCCAAGAGAACACAGATGGAAGAACGGAGGAAATCAGAAAGAGTAACTTCTGAAGAAGAATTTAAACATAACCTAGAATACATGAAACAGATCCAAAGAGATTACCAGGAAACTAAAAACTCCATTGAACACTGGCAAAATGCCTTGACAGAAACTAAAGTTAGCCTTTTGAAACTTGAAGAGAGATTTATGATATATGATTGTGAAAGAAAAGACCTCTTAAAAATAACGAGGAACCAGAAACAATTCAAAGGCTAGAAGATGACAAAAGGGGGGCTGGGGATTTAGCTCAGCGGCATAAGCACCTGCCTTGCAAGCAGGCGGTCATGAGTTCGATCCCTGGTACTGATAAAAATGAAAAAGACAAAAACATTTTTTAAAAAAGATGACAAAAGGATGCGTAACTCAAGAATAAAGCATGTGAGCGAGGAAGCAGGAGCAACCAAAATGAAATACAAAGAATATTCATAGATATATTAAAGGAAAACTTCCCAAGCATAGGAAAAAGAAATGATATCCAGATAAATGAGGCATTCAGAACTCCTGCTACCTACAACCAAAACAGATCTACACCCAGACACATAATAATCAAGATTCCAGAAATCTACCAAAAGAACAGAATACTAAAAGCAGCCAGGGAAAAGAAGCAGATAATCTACAATGGGAAAATTATCAAAATAACAACAGACTTATCAACACTAACTTTCAAATCGAGAAGGGCCTGGGGAGAAATATTCCAAGCCCTGAAAGAAAATAATTTGCCACCAAGACTGATATAGCCAGCAAAACTCTCTCTCAAAATTAATGGAGAAATAAGATGTTTCCAAGACAAGGAGGAACTGTGGGTGTTCGTGGCCACCAACCCAACCCTACAGAGAGTGCTGAAGGACATTCCAGAGAGGGAGAGGAAGGGATACCAGGATTCCACCAACAGTGGCAGAGAGGCCTCAATGAACAGGGCAGACAGTGGAATGAGGGAGTAAGGTGGACAAATTATAGCAGTAAAGTGGAGTAGCAGACATGAGGCAGAGACGGTAAGCTATAATCTTTAGAATAGATAGCTTTGATATACTGTATAAAAAAGGCAGAGGTCATTGTTAATAGTGTATCAGGATTTAAAAGTCACAGTAGTCTTATTGCTCTGTTTAGTTTGAATTTAATTTGTTTCAGTCTGTCCACTCTTATCAGATTTGAGGGCACAGACATCTGATCCCAAAATAGCAGGTTATACCATGGTAACACTCCTTAATTTCCTATTAACTTAAACTAAAACCTTGTTTTACTTACATTGTCTTTCTATGACTGACCTTATTTGAATCTGATTCGTTAGACCGCGGTTTTGCCTTGGCTGATTTTATTTGAATTTGGTATGCTTGATAGTATCAACCCTAAAAGTAGAGGCAACTACTCTGAAGATGACAAGATGTAAAAGATATCCCTACTGGTTTTGAGTATTAACAGCTCTCAAGTCCTACAATATTTTCAAAGTTGTGTTCTTATAAAAATAGCTATGTAATACTATGCTTAACTATATTAAATCTGATGATGTGGACAAGTCTATTGAAAATAACAAGAGAAGGAATAGTAACTATGGTAGATCACCTAATATTGTGGTCTTATGTGTCTTTTTCATTGCATGTTTTCTAGGAATTTGTTTTGTTTTCTTGTTATCATTTGTTTTTCCCTATAATACAGAGAGGATAGATATACATGTAGAAATTCACACATGAGAAGATTTTTTAAAAACTATTTACGTGAACAGATACTCTGAAGAAGAAGAGACACTAAGAAACCCAATGCTAATTCTGTAGCATTATGATATAAAATCTAGCAATACTATTGTTCACTGTTCAGAGTGATATTAGTCTAGTCTCTTAAGTTCAATTGCAGCATATGTAAAGATAAGGACAGCTACTATGAAGAGAATGAGAGACTATGGTAGTTATTAGTGTCTTCCCCAATGTCAGATCTTGAAGACCTAAAAAGCCTTCATTATCCTGAGTGATTTGATTAGTTCTATAATATGCAGTATGTGTTTAATGTGTGTGAAGATGGGGAACAACTATTTGGTAAGAAACTAGAGACAATAAGATAGACAGTGAAGATCTCCAGTGGGCTTGTTTTGAAATCTGTATTTCTTTAAATTGTTTCTTTTTGAACTGTTTTGTTTTGTTTGGATATATTTCATCTTACCCTCTTTAAGATAAAAAACAAGTGTGTAGGATTTTTTTCTGTAATTCTGTATTATTTATACCCTTTTTCTCCATGTATTTTTATTTCTTTCTCTTGAAATAAAATTAAAAAAAGAAAATTCAGACTCCCCAAATTCAAAGACTCAATCCACAAATGGGCGTCTGAAATGAATACATACTTCTCAGATGAAGAAATACAAATGGTAAATAAGTATATGATGAAGTGTTCAACATCATTGGTTATTAGAGAAATGCAAATTAAAACAACACTGAGATTCCTTCTCACCCCAGAAAGAACGGCTATCACCAAGAAGTCAACAAATAACAAATGCTGACGGGGCTGTGAGGGAAAAGGAACCCTTCTCCACTGTAGGTGGGAGTGCAGATTGCTGCAATTTCTATGGAAATCAGTGTGGAGAGTCCTTAAAAAACTAGGACTGTTAAAAAACCAAACTACAATTAGAAGTCTCATGTGACCCAGCTATCCCCCTTCTGAATATCTTCCCAGAAGAATTAAAAACATAATACCTCAGCAATATTTGTACACCCATGTTTATCACAGCACAATTTGTAACAGCTAAATCCTAGAAACAGCCCAAATGCCCATCAATCAAGGAATGGATAAAAAAGATATAATATTTTTATACATCAGAGTACTACTCAGCCATAAAGAAGGATAAACTTGAGACTTTTATAGGTACATGGATGCAACTTGAGACAATACTAGTAATATCACTATGTGTAAACACACCTGTATAAACATCATATTGTCTCCCTGGTATGAGAAATGGAAAGAGTAAATATGGTCTAGAATGGATAATAGGTATTGTGAAATAGGAAGAAATTGTTAAAAAGTAAAAAGGAACTAGGATGGAGAGAAGGGAAAGGAAGAAAGTGAAAAGAGAAAAACTGTAAGTTAATTATACTGTTAGTGACTCTTAGTTCATAGAAAAGAAAGGTTTGCGCTAATATTGTTTGGAAATTTTTTTATCCCCATATCTTGTACTCTGAATAACTACTTTAAAGATAATATTATATAATGCGGTAACTATTGCTATTCTCCTATCATCTTGTTATGAAATTTTGTTTTATCTTTTTTCCATAAAGTAAAAAAGTGAGTTATAAAAAGAAGCTATATAAAATATAGCATCCCTCTAATTTTAAGAAAATTGTGTCACCTAGAGAATTTCATTATTAAAATTAAAAATTTAATTAAGAATTTTATTATTAAAATTAAGAATTTTATTATTAAAATAGGTGATACAATTTTAGATCTTTTATTGAATTCTTTTTGCTTTTTGCTTTCTAAATATCCTTTTGTAAAATGAAACATATCTGTAAAAAGAAGAAACACAATCGATTCTGCCTTTTACTACAAGCTATTTTCTGTCAATTTAAAACATGAGCCACTAACTGGGGAGATTACTTAGACCCCTCTCCTAAACTCCCTTGTCTGAATCCTGGTGTCTCTAACATTTTCCTTGAGATGAGCCATTTTCTTAAAGGTCAGGGCATGTTTCTATTTTCAGAAGCTCCTCACAGAGACAGGGCTTTGAGAAACTGCATGGCTGTTCTCCTACAAAGACTGTTGGAACTTATGAGGCTGATGTTCCTCTTGGAAATATTCCAGGTTGTACCATCTTTGAAAACTGCAAGAGCTGCAGGAATGGCTCCTGGGGCGGCACCCTGGACGACTTCTATATCAAGGGCTTCTACTGTGCCGAATGCAGAGCGGGCTGGTATGGCGGAGACTGCATGCGTAAGTACCTACGTTGCGAGCTCCAGCTTCTGTGTGTATCACTTTCAAGCCTCAGCTTACAGTAGACTTGAGTTTATCTTGCTGGAATCTGAGTTTTGGAAAGCTTATGGCTAGAAGGATTTCTCGGTGAGACTATAAAAACAAAAGATGTATTTTCCATCTGTTGGGTATGGGTTATGGAATCTGCTCTCAGGTTTCTAGCTGGTCTCTGAGCTGGGTTCTCTCCTCAGTAAAGCAAGGGTGCTCTGCACCCTCCCTGTATCTTGTGCATTTCTGGAGCAAATGTTGAATAAGGTTGCAAAAATATTGTCTGGAGTAGTGCATTTAAAATATCCATTTCTGTTGGTGGAGTTCTTCAAATCATGAGTTAAATCCCCAGAACCCACAACACATCGGCCTCATACCAGGAAAGAGGTTATCCCAGGAAAGAAAGTCTCTACTTGATCTGAAAGAATTACTTAATATTTATTAACGTTCCCTTCAGAGTTTCAATAATCTGAAAACAGTAGAAATACAGCCTCTCTCTCAGTCTACAATTTCCCTTCTGCAGTTCCCCAGTTGGTACCCATCTCTCTGGGAGTCTATATTTAGATCAATGTACATGTTACTATTATAGTATTAAGCCTACTTTGTATGCTCCCTACTAGAGTCAGAAGCAATGAGGTGGTCTTACAATGGGAGTGCTTTTTTGTTTGAATGATTTTTAAGTTTACAGAGATGGTGCTTGGAGTGTTATTGGCATGCTTTGCTTGAGTTTCAGGGGGCTTCGTAGGGCAAAGGAAGAGGTATATGGTCCACAGTTGAGGGAAGTAACTAAACCAGGGAGAGGATTGATCTTTATTTCAAGGTGAACCTAAGGATCAAATTATCCAAGATACAGATACTCTTTAAAATACTAATCTTAGTTGCAGTTGTAAAACTTTGATGCTATTTTGGGTAGTTTCATGGAAATTTAACCTTGGATTTGGTAGATTATTTTCCAAGTTAGTTAGCTGGAAGATGTAACCCTGGTCTTTCTCTGGCAGCTGTTCTAAGAGACAGAGTATCAGGCTCTAAACAGTAAGGATCAAGGTGTAATAAACGCATGGACCAATTGCTCATGATTAATGTATATATTATGTATCACAAAGACACATTAAGAAGATACATAAAAAAGAAAAAAGAGCACAGGCTCTTGAATGACATGGAACTAGATTTAAGTAATGATTTTTCCTGTTACTCCTATGTAACACTGGACAAGTCATTTGACATTGTCAATACTAATGTCCTCTTTATACAAATGGGAAATAGGAAAAATAAGAGACGTTTATTGCCTTGGGTTGACTTGGGAGTTCCCTGAGATAAATATGTGTGAAACATTTAGCACTATGCTTAGGAAATATAAAGTAATAGCTCAATTAGTACAGTAAGTATATAACAATGTTTATACGTTCCTTAATTGCTGACATAGTAAGAGGTCCCAAACTAAAACTTCTTTTAATAATACTTTAGGAAAAGAAAAAAGTAGGGGTAGCTTGCCTATCAACTGCAGAATGGATAAGAAAGATACAGCATTTTTATACAATGGAAAGCTACCCAGCTATATAGAAGGATAATCACAAGGCTTGTAGGTAAATGGATGCAACTTGAGATCATGCTCAAGAGATCATGAGTGAAATCACAGTCACATGGGTGAACATCGTGTTGTCTCCCTAGTATGAAAAGCTGAAGGAGTTAGTGGGATCCAAAACGCACATTAGATATTGTGAAAGTGAAAGGGGAGGAAATATCTAAAACGGGAAGGTGGTAGCCATTGTTAATTTCTTACAATCTTATTTTGAAGCCTTGTATCATTTTCATTGTTATGCTTTGTTTGGTTTTATTGTGGTTTCTTGTTGATTTTATTATATTAGATAGCATGGGCAGCTATTTCAAAGATAACAAGATACATTACGGCAGCCACTGTTGATTTCTTATTATGTTGTTTGAAGCCCTGTATCACTTTCATTGTTTTGTTTTGATTGATTTTATTCTGTTTTGTTTTGCTTTATTTGATTTTACTATGTCTGATGGTATAGGTAGTACTCTGAAGATGACAAGGGGCATTGTGGTAGCCATTGTTGATCTCCTGTTATCTTATTTTGAAGTCCTGTATCACGTTCACTGCTTTGTTCAGATTGACTCTATTCTGTTTTATGATGTTTGGTTATATTTTCTTCATAATAAAAAATAATACTTTAGGAAAAACAGAGATACACAGCATTACATTTCACATTGACCTTTAATATATGTAACAATTACTGTTGATTTTTCTCTTGTTTTGGGGTCATGTACATGGTTACTCTTATCTGTACACATGGCTGAGGAAGAGGCACATGAGGAAGCTGGAGTGGCTGGCAGGGTTTCAATCATACAAGGCTCTGTGGGGAGGTAAATTAAGTAAAGAATTTAGGCATTACTAAGTTCTTACAGCGGGAAGCCAGGAAGTTGGGATTTAGTGCTCTGAAAACGTAAATAAGAGAACAAGTAATCACAGGAATCCACGTAGGGAAAGTCCTAGAGAATAGGGGTGACTGCTGAGTTCTGCTTTGGTGTTGGAAAAACAGGACAGCACTTCAGGTAGACAAAGCAGTGTGGTCAGAGTGGGAAAATGCAAGGTCTGTGCAGGGAAGCCTGAGGAGCAAGTGTGGCTAGATCTACAGGATGTGTTAGGGAGTGGTGAGAGGGGAGAGGAAGACCAGGCAAGACGGGCTGGGAAGAGCACAGCGTGCCAGGAGTGAGACCCATCTTGTACTTCACTCTGAGGATGACAGAGAGTACATATTGAATGGTTTGATCGGGGAAGTGACATCTGACAGATGATTGGGGCAGCATGTGGTGGGTCCATTGGAATGGAGTCAGGGCCATGTCCAGAGTAGTTAGGAGCACGATTCTAGCAGTTCAATGCATGGAGAAAGAAATGAGGGAAGTTTTTGCCTTTCAGGTTCCCAGTTTGAGCAAGTATGTAGACGCGGATGCTGTCAAGAAAGTAACAAAAGAAGGGAACTTTGGTGGGGGAAGCAAGAGTCTTGCACTTGAGAGATGAGGGAGTTAGAGCAAGCACAGGAGATCTTGTGGACATTTGGAAATTGGTTCCTGGAGCCCAGGAGAACTGCAGAGACTTAATATACACTTACGGGCACTAGTGAGTTCCCACAGGGAGACTCAGAAGCATGAGATGAGCAGAGAGCTAATGTCAGGAAAGCACAACAAACAAAATGAAAACAGAAAGAGACCAGGGAAGAGGTGCAAAAGAATAATCCGAGAGATGGGTGGAGAAGCTCTAAGAAGCTGTTTTAGAAGCTGAGGAAAGGTCAAGTGGACCAAGGATCAGCAAGAGATTTCTGTATTTGGTAGCAAAGTGACTGCTGATCTTAGCCATAGTATTTTCATACATATATGCAGAAGAAAGATGTGAAGGAGAGGAAATAGAGACAAAAGGTAGAGACAACTTCTAAATAAGCATTTACAATAATATAAATGAAAAAAATTTTAATAATAAATCAGGGGTGGGCAAAATGGGGTGATAGTTGATAGGAATAAATAGAATTGTGGAAAAATTTTTAAATTAGCTGAGTGTGGTGGCATACACCTGTAATCTCAGCACTCAGGAGGCTGAGGCAGGAGGATTGTTATGACTTAGAAGCCAACCTGGGCTACATAAGCAAGTTCATGGCCAGCCTGCATGTCACAGCAAGACCCTGGCTAAAATAAAAATTTTTTTAAAGATTAAGATTTAAATGGATTTGTGAGCTGGTATGAGCTGATAAGTATCAGAGGCTGAAGGGATGAGTGGAAATAATAAAGTTAAGAAAGAGTAAGACACAGAACAAGGGTGAGAGATTAAAGGAAAAAGAATTTCCTCCCCCTGTCCTAGGCTGGTAACGTATGTCCAATTGCTAGTTATCACGCGTTAGATGTACTAAGCACCTATGTGGCATGTCTTGTGTTATCTATACAACTGTCCTATGAAATTTGCACTGTCACCATATGGATGATGAAACTGAGGCTTGGAGGGGTGAAGTAATTTGCCCAAGGTCTCACACTGAGGAGTAAACCCCAGGGAAGCCGATGTCTGTGCAATGCCTGACCCCTGGTTCTTAATCTCGGTCCTGTGCCACCTCTTACTAGTGACTTCTCCTCTATTTTCTCTGGGAAATCAAAAGTGAAATCTTTGCCAAGAGCAGGGTGGAGTGCAGCTGGGGCTTAGCAGTACCCAAGGTTTGGGACATTTGTGTGAGATGCAACACGAGGCTCCTGTTAGGGACCCAGAGGCAGCTCCTATATGGTGACATAGTCCACTAGGACATCTGGGCATGGGTCACACCAACTGTTAGCTAAAATGTGGCTGAGATTAAGAAGGACATGAACCCAGAAAGAGGCTGATAGAGGGAGAATGGGACTGGAAGACTTCATGAGGTGAGAAATTAGGCTTTGTAGTAGTGGAGGATGTGAATGGAAGTGGTGTTGTGGCTCGAGAGTGGAGTTCCAAACTGAAGCTTTCACAAGTGGTATGGATGCTGTTTTTATGTGGTGTGGTTGAAAAATATGGTAAACACTTAAATTTTCAAAAGATGTATTACAGTAAAAGGCACATTGCATCTCCCTCGAAATATTCTCCCTCACTTTGAGCACACAGGTCCCATCATCCTTGCCACTTTCTGATGCAGCTCTGGGAGTCTTCTTTAGTTGCACAGTTGTGCCTGTCTCAGTGTCCTGAATGAATTCAAAGTACTTACCTTTGCCAGGGATTTAGCTCAGTGGCATAAGTGCCTGCCTGGCAAGTGTGAGGTCATGAGTTTGATCCCCGGTACCAAAACAAACAAAACAAAACAACCCCCCCCAAACAAAACACTTACCTTTTATGGAAAGTTTGATTTTGGGGAAGAGCCAGAAGTTGCAATATACTAGATGTGATGAATCAGGCAGATGAGGACCCACTGTGCTGCTTTCAGGAGCCTGTGTTTCTGTTGGAAGACTCTCAGCCACGGTGTTCATTGTTATTTTTGATCACCTTTTCTAAAAAGGCAAAAGAGGGTCTTTTAGAACAGCTTCAAGAAGTGGTAAGAATGATGGGATAAGTGAATTTGAAGAAATGAGAAATGTTTTAAGGGAGATTAGTGGTGATATTAGTCTTTCACTATAATGCACTAAAAAAGAAAGCATATAGTTTGATCATACCTGGTATGTGCTGGCCTGGGTTGAACTACAAACTGCAGGCCTAAGCAGAAAGGCAGAAGGAAGGTGTCCTCTTCTCAGTGTGAGTCCCAGAGCTCATGAGGCCATACCACAGCCAGGAGCATGCTTCAAGCCTCTGCTCATATCCCATTTACTCCCATAACCCTGGCCAAAAGAAGTCACGCACATGACTGGGCACAGGTGTGCTCGCTCCATCCTGATGGCGAGGGGCCCAGACATTTCCTAAAATACTCCGGACCCTCCATGGGAGCAAGTGGGATTTTTGCAGGGGACAAAGGGAGAGGAAAGACCTGATGTTTGCATGTAAGAGATCAGTAACTCTGATGGTAACTAGACAGGAGGTGGGTGCACAGAGAGGCAGCTCTACAGAATCTAGATGGCAGGGGTGGTGACGGTGTCCATGAGCAGAATCATGGTGTTCTCAGGGATAGCACGAGTAGCTCAGGGCAGCCAGTCATCACCAGAAGACAAGCCGAGTAGAGCTTTATTTATTAGTCTACCATTTCATTCAAAAATGATTTCATGAATGGACACAGCATGGGAAGTAGACAGACATGATCTCTGCCATCTGGGGCTTGCAATTTAGAGAGGAAGGGTTTAAGAAAAGCACAACTTGGATTGCAGTCATTGGCATGAAGAAAACAAAAAGAATAAAGGTCAGATTCTTATCTGATTCTGTTTCTGTACTGGCCGGGTTGTGTCTGTTCAATTCCACCATGCCTGTCCGGACAGCCTCACCCCACATAGGGTCTGTTATCCCAACCACAAGCGCGCATGGAGCATTTCCCGTGGGGCGCCGGGCTGGCCACCAGGTTACACAGCAAGCTGTCAAGGACAGAAGAGTCCATCGGTGGGAACAAGGGTTGGCTCTAAGAAGACACTAGCCTGATTGTGTGGGGTTCCTAGCGTCTCCAGCTCTCATCGGTACCACATTCATGTGAAGACAATTCATAGGAGGGAGTAATTTATGCCACTGTGGGTTGAACACCTGCCAGGTAGAAGCCACAGCGCTGCCTCTTGGGTTAAGGATTGCTGAACGCTCTGGGTGGCCCTGCCCAGGCTGGGGCACAGTGGAGGAGCCGCAAGGCAGTACAAGCATTTAGCCAGCAGATGGCGCCCAAGCAATCCTTTCAGATGGTCCTTTATCTGCAAGAGGAAGGAGGGCTTCTTGCCCAGTGCCCTCTGCAGGGATTTTGCGTTTTTGTTTCTGCTTTTGTTTTGCCCTACCATATGGGGGTTTAGACAGGAGGAGGAGTCACAGACAAGCGCCAGAAAGGATCAGAATGATTATCTTCCAGTGATAGTACACCGAGCACTGACAGACCCAATCGTCCCTTCCTTTGCTCACTGTCCTTGACAAAGTTTGTGACAGCGTTAGTCTACCTCGTGGGAGTCCTAAGACTTACTATGGCTTTGTTTGTTCTTAACCACTGTCTGATTCGTGTCTGCCCGAAGGGATTGTCTAGGCGAGAGCCCAGGGAGCATTCATTCACATTTTCTGGAAGATAGATTTAGAAATCTCAAAATATCCCCACTAAGAGCCAGTGGGGATATTTTATCTTTCTTTCCTGAACTTCTTAACTGAAAAAAAATTCAGATCTACAAAGCATTGAGAAGGCTACATACATTCATATACTTTATTTAGATTCACCTGATACTCTCATTTTTCCAATTTTTTCCCACTTTTCCATTTTTCTTTTTGCACTGTACACTCATGAATTTTCCCCTCACATTTTATCATGTTAATGTGACTTTTCCTTTTGATAATCAGATTGCATCAGATGCTCCACACATTTTTTTCAAGGAATTCTATGCTTTCTTGGGCCTCTCTCCCTAGTAGTTCAAGTTCACCTTTGTTTTCTATGCTTGAGTCTTGAAACCAGTCATTTCTCCATGATTCTGGGTTTCTGTGAGGGGAGCTGTGCTTAGGGACTGTGGTGTGGATGCTGCCTAGTAGAGGGTCTGATATCTGAAGTCAAAACCAAGACCTCCTTCAAAACTTCTTCACTTGGGAAGTTTGAGTTCTTCAATGAAACCACCTTGCTGAACTTTGGGGTGGCATTTATTTAACTTAGCTCTCATTCTGAATTGTTTATCCACCAAGAGAATGGAGTGAGAGGGCTCAGCACCAGAATACTACACTGGTGCCTGGGATCGTGGTGATCCTAACCTTTCAGTCCCTGAAGGATACTGAAGATCTAAGAAGTTTATAGGAAAGCATCCCAGATGACAGAGGATTTGTGGGGAGAGATTATGGGCTCTAACACCTTTATCTTCTTAGTCATATTTTGGATAGAGGCAGAGAAGGAAAGGACCTGGACATAAGCCATGCCCAAAATGTTTTTGTAGCTAGAATATCAGAGAGGATGATTTGTCAGGCTGATATCTGAACCTCAATCAGAAATGATTAAGAGAAAATGAGAAAACTTGAGAACAAAGGAAAGGAAACAAAGAGAGAGAGAGAGAGAGAGAGAGAGAGAGAGAGAGAGAGAGAGAGAAGGGAAAGACAGAAAGAGAGAGAGAGACACAGAAACAGAGACAGAGACAGAGACAGGATAGAGACAGACACCTGCAGTGGAGTCATTGAAAACTGGCTCCTTTTAATCCACTCCTTTGTGTACTGACATTTCCAGGAAAAGAACAATGCCCAATTGGATCCAGTCTGGGGCTGGTATTGTGTGGTTATTAGCAACTTTGACTTAGACCCAGTAAGATCTGGATTTGAATTTCTACTCTTCTGTGACTTTGAGCAAAGTTACTCAATCTTTGAAAATCTTGTTTTCTTATTTACAAAATGAAAATAATAACAGTAGCCCTTTGAGGGTTTCTTTTTTTGTTGTTGTTGAGTGTTAATGAACACTATCTGTAAATTCCTTAATGTGAGTTCTTGTAAATAGCATCTGCTTAATAAATGGTTAATGCTATTCTTATTTCCAAACCAGAGCCATGCAATGAGCTTTCTGTTGTGCTGCTTATTTGTTGTATATGTGTGAATGTGTGTGTTTTCAGCAAGAGAAAAAATTAATATAGGGCCAAAAAAGGACGATAGGACGGTAGAAGAGAATTCTCTAAGAGATAAAAGAATGAGGAGGTAGTCTTCCCAAGACAAGTATTGGATAGTAAACAATAGTTTATATTTTTCTGTCAGAGGAGCTTTTTGGAGTCTGGAAAATTAGTGTTTGGACTTGTACAGTGGATTCCATATATTTAAGAACTCATCAACCATACCTCAGTTTCTGGGAGTGTACAGAATACATGAAAGGGTTTCCGTCCTGCTCAAATAAGATATCACTAGATAACCCATTCCCAAAATCATAGTTTCCTTTTAAACCATCAAATATCTGTCAACATGGAGCCTAAAACTCAGAGAGGGAGACAGATCCCAGCCTCTCCCTGTGAGTCAGCACCATTTGTGGATGGGGGCTAGAGAGAACAAAGCCGCACCAGCAAGCAAGCCCAGTCAAGAAAGCAGCACTGTGCATGGGCCCCCGGGAGACTGGCAAACAGGAAGTACCAAACACACACACATGCACACGCACACGCACACGCACACACACACACTCACATATCCTGTCATAAGTGACCGGCTTATTTGGAGAAACACAGGCTGTGTGACAGCTATGGAGGTGAAATGCAATTGGATGCCTGTAGTGCTTGGTGTTTCACTAACAATGCAGGTCTAGGGCCAGTGGTCTGATCATAGGTTCAGAGGATAGTGGTACTCAGAGTGACACCTAGGGGGACCTTCTGAGTGTTACTGCATTGTTCATTCTCTATGGTCTTGTTTCGAAGTCCTATATTATTTCCATTGTTTTCTTGGGTTAGGCTTTACTCTCTTTTGTTTCGTTTGATTATGTTAAATCTAATGATAGGAGCAGCGATTTCTAAGATAGCAAGATATATTATGGCAGCAATTTTGGCTTTACCATTGGCTTGTTTTGAAGTCCTGTTTGCATTCATTGTTTTGTATTTAATGTTTCTATTTTATTCTATTCTATTTGATTTTCACTATATTCAAAGTTATCTGCAGCTATTTTGAAGACATCAAAAGGCACTATGGTAAGTATTGTTGATCTCATAACATTTTGAAGTTCTGTATCTTTTAGACTGGTTTGTTTTGACTGGTTTTATTTTGTTTTATCCTCATTTAAAAAATTAAACTAATGCCCAGAGAAGTAAGTACTTCCTAGGTGGACAAGTGATCCAGGACACTTCATCCCTTGGGTGAGCTACTGAGGTTGGTGGCAGGGTAAATGAAAGAGGGTGACTGCCACAGAAGGAGAATAAACCAACCAGACTGTTGGACAAAAATCTAGAGGAAACCCAAGGCAAACATAACCCTCCCCACCAAAGAGTCTCTTAATTCTGCTGAGCAAACAGAGGCTGGTGGAAAAGCACACCTTGCAATGGTATAGTCATGCAACTTTAAAAACTTATGGTATCAAATTTTCACAATCTTATAGGCTCACAGTGTTCTAGTCTTATAGTCATGGTAACACAGGAAATTGGAGGGAAAAAAATTTAAAAATCAAAAAGAGATTTGTTTATGTTCCTGGTGTTTGAATTTCTCGGCCCTTCTAGTGAGATTATACCCTTTCTCCTGTCATAAACCAGCCAACTCCTGATTGGATCAGTCTGATCAGTCCATCATCCTGCCTGTGTATAAGAGAAAAGCCTATTCCCAACCAAAAGAGATGGTATGTTTCCTATTGTGAAGAAACAAGAGAATATATAGTCTAGAGAACAATCAATCAAAAGAAATAGATGATACATGACTAAATATTCGAATTGTCAGTCAAGAAATTTAGAATAACTTTAAGATAATATATATTAAAAAAGAGAAAAGATGGTGTAATGGTTGATACATTGTGTCAATTTGAGAAGTTTACAAGCTCAGCTAAGTAACTCAGCAGTTCTATATCCTAGGATGTAAAGGATCTGCCCTAAGGTGCCTGTTTATGCTTGCAGATGGAGTAATGGTTGATTCATTGTGTCAGCTTGGGAAGTTTAGAAGTTTTACTGTCTCAGCAGAGTGCCAGGGTCCACACTTTCTAAACATCCTGAGCCTGTTCAAGAGGAGGATGTGGAGATAGCTTGGGTATACAGGACCCACCCTAGGATGGGTAGCTTGCATAAGGGAGAAAAAAAGGCTTGCTGTTTCCTGTGTTTATTCTTGCTAATTTTGCTGTCTTCTGCCACCTTGGACTGTTGCCCCTCAGCCATGCCACCCTGCCTTGGAGCTAGCTGATTACAGATTAAACCTCTACAAATTGTGAGCTAAATAAACTTTTCCTTCCCTAATTTCAAGTGTTGCCTATTTTGGCTCAGTAAGGAGAAAAAAGTAACTAACACCACAGTTACAAGAAATTTTAGGCAAAATTTCTAAATGTCAAAAACCAAATTAAAATTCTAGAACTAGAAAAGCATATCTGAAATAAAATAATCAATTGGAGGGGATTAAGAGCTTATTCTTCACAAAAGAAAGGATGAGAAAACTAAAGACATGGGTTCTAGGGGTTTAGCTCAGCAGCTTAAGTGACTGCCTGGCAAATGCCAGGTTGTGAGCTCAATCCTCGGTTAAAAAAAAAAGAAAAGAAAAGAAACTAAAGACAGGTTAACAAAAATCAGCCACACTGAAACACAGACAAGAGACGGAAAGTAGTCACTCCATGATCTTTCTGTTACTCCATATTTTAAGCTGGATTATTGGAGCTGTCTTCATGTGCACTTTTTGTGAGTATCCTGGCAATTTCAAGGAGCAAATATATTTTGTGGTAGTGTGATAGATACTATTTTTGCTGAACAATCATTCCTTCTGAATGGAAAGGTCATTTTATATGTTCACGACAGGGCTGTAGTTGGTATGTCCTATTGCCAGGTGGCTCTGAGGTGATATATGCATGACTGTTCCATCAGGTGGACAAACTGGCAGGAATGTGTTAAAATGGTTTGAGTGTGGTGGTGCATGTCTATACCCTCAGCCCTCTGGAAGACTGTGGAAGTAGGATTTTTTTGAGGAAGGAAAGGTTTATTTAGCTTACAGTTTGTAGAGGTTTCAGTCCATTATCAGCTGGCTCCAAGGCAGAGTGGTGAGGCAGAAGGGCAAACATTCCTGGCAGCAGAAGATATAAAAAGCAACAGGAAAGCAGGAGGGTTGTTAATTTCAGCTCAGCTTGAGCAACTTGACAACTTGGTGAGACCCTATTTAAAAAAAGATTTTCTGGGGTTGGAAGTTGTTTAATTTAAAAATGGCTTAATTAATGTAAGAGGTGTTTATTTGATACAACCACTATTCAGTTAAGAATTCATTGAACACTGGCTCCACACCTATAAAAGTGTGAACAAGATGTATAATGACCTTATTCTTACAGAACTGTGCCCAGAGAGGACCAAACACTTTCATGATTGTTTCATGATTGGCTTGAGGTTTAAGCCAAATCACAGGGCGAGTGGTGGATTTCTGACTCATGGGCCCGTAACTGTACCCAGTGAAGGTCTGAACCCATGGTCAAACCACCACTTAGTCTTGCTATGAACCAGATGTCATTCTAAGGGCCCTTACATGCTCACTGAACCCCCACTGCAATCCTCATCAGAGCCATTCAAGGGACAAGGGAGTAAAGTAACTCTCCTGCTGTCACATAGCTTATCAGTGGCAGGGCCGAGATGCAAATTAAGAAACCTCACCCCAGAGCTCACCTCTTACTCCTAGAGGTTGGAGCTTGAGGCCCTGTCTGTTCTCAGGGCCTGGGAGATCATGATGGGATGACTCAAGTTACATGGAAGGTGGAGGATTCTTTCCTGCTCCTGGCCAGGGCGTGGATCAATTCACGTCTTCTTATCCAGGTCTTGTCTCTGCCAGCACTGTCTGGGTGTCTGGGACTGGTGAGTTTAAGGTCCTGGTCTGTGATGAGATGTGGCTTCATGAGTCTGCAGCAGTGGGTCAGAGCCTTGACTGTCCTCTATGATTCTTGTGCCAAAATAGTCTCCAATCCAGATAACCCTTAAAAATAATAATATTTCTTGTCACTTATTGAGCATTTTTAAGACATTATGTCCTAAAACCAGGCACAATGCCAAGGGACTTTAAATATAATATTTCACTTAATCCTTAGGCAAGCAAATAAGAAAAAATATTCTCCTTTTCAAATGAGACTCAGAAAATAAAGTGAACTTCTCCGGGGTTCCAGTCCTAGTCTGGCTTCATAGACTGAGTTCTGCCTCCTGAGTTATCTTTAAAAGTCGAAAAGAAAATGCACATGGCTGTGTCTGCCTGAATGATTGTCATAGTCCTCTTTTTCTTTCTAAGAGGAAGGATTAAAGCAAAACAAAAAGGAACTACTTCTCAGAAGTGTGTTGTGTCTCTCTCCTGCCACCCTCTCCTCACGTCTAAAGCTAGAGATGACAAGATTTCTGTGTGAATTCTGGGGGTGTCTGCTTTTACTGGGAACCTTCCAGCTCTTTTATTAGTTTAGAAACTGATGCAGGTTTCCTTTTGACTCTGAAAAAAGAAATTGAGTCTCTCCAGCTATCCCTATTTCAACCTACAGCAACGTGCAAGGATGGCTCAGGATTTGAGGATGGTCTGGCTTTACTGACAGATCCGTCTACACACACACACACACACACACACACACACACACTCCTTCCCCCTGCAGCAAGACCTTGTTAGGGAATCTGAACATGTCTTCCGGGCCCTTTGCTGGCTCTGGTCTTTCAATTCAAGACCACCTGCTTGGTTGGCCAATGGCACTTCCTTGGCAGGGACGCTGGGATGTGTTCACTGTTCTGCCCTGGACAGAGAGGTGCAATTAGTCTGTCTCTGCACCCAAGCCGACCACTCGCCAGTAGAGTGGGAGGGGAGCTGAAGAGTTGCTTGATGTGAGGAGTGTGGGGGCCCCTCCCCCTCTTCCTTTTCACCTTAGACCCCTGCTTCCAAGCACATTTCCAAGATGGGATCTCTTTGTCTTTCGTTGGTTGGGAGTTGTTCTCCATCTTGGGGCCAATTCTGTCCTCCCTTCAGTGGGAGAAGGAATAGCATGATGAGGAGCTGAGACACTGGATGTGTTCTGGACCTGCAGGAACAAGCAATCCAGTATTTTCGCATGGCTGGGCCTGGTACTGGGTGGAGCTGGGGGCTCTGAGCCCTCTGTCAGCTGCATGAAACCCTGGAGCTGGCCTAAGTCCCACTGGACTTGCCAAGGACCAGGAATGAGGTTGGGCACCAGCTCCTTTTGCATTTGGGGAGGGGCCCAGGGAACTGGCTCTCTGATTCCAGCTTCCATATGGTGGAAGGAACCAGAAACAGGCTGGCAGCATTTGCTGCTGGTTCTCACTTGGGGTTTCCACCAGGAGGTTCGCTGGGGAGCTGGGACTTAACACCTTGGAGGCTGGGAAGCTGCCAGTCCCTGAGGGGTGGGGGCTGCACAGGAAGACTTCTTTTTTTTGTCTCTCACACCTAGCGTAGCATTTCCGTAGCCCTGCAGCAGATGGGCAGATGTGGGCGACGAAGACGAAGGTGTGAGGTGTGCTGGAAGAGGAATGTGCACTTCCAAGGAGGGGGATTTCATATATCTTTTTTGGGAGGGAAAAGAAAAATCCTGCTGCTTCATAATGGGTTGGAAGGAGGCTAGGGCAGGAAGTCCCTAAGACAGTTGAATGTACCAGCTGAGACCCAGCAATAGGACTAGACAGACCCAAGTTCAAAGCCCTGATCTGCCACCCAATAGCAGCAGCTAACATTTACTGATTCTGCTATGGGGTTTCCATGCCCAAGCAGACTGGAGCCTCACGATCTGAATAAAGCAAGGATCACTTCATTGACATCTGACTCAGATTTACTGGGTTCTGAGAGGAAAAGTAACTTGCTTAAGCCTGCACAGCTACTGAGGCTCAAAGTGGCTTTCAGACCACGGCAGTCAGACTCAGGAGCCTCCTGTTTTTAACTTTACAGTGACTGCAGTAATTTATGGGGTCCTTGGACTCTCTGACCATATGATCTTGTGGAAGTTATTTAATTTCTCCATCTTAGTGTTCTGGGTCCAGGATATGGGAAGATGAACAATGTTTGCCTAGGTCTTCCATGAGAAGTAAATGAAATAAGGTTTGTGAAGTGTTTAGCGAGTGCCTGGCCTCAAATGATATCATTCCAATAAATTGAATAATTGTCTGTGATTCGAGAGATATTTATGGAACACCAGCCAGGTTCCATTCTAGGTATACAAGCTAGAAGAGGTCCCAGGGTTACTATGGGAAATAAGGATTTTTAAATGTTTAAATATTTTCAGTTAGTGATGTGAATTACAAAGAAATTTAAGTGTCTGGATAGTGGCTATAGCACAGGAGAACCTATTTCAGCTAGATCATCCAGGAAGACCTCCTCGAGGAAGTTCTATTTGAGCCTAACTCCCAAAGAAAGGAGATGCAGAAGAACATGAGTCTTCTAGTTTAAGGGAAAGGCAAATTCAAAGCCTGGCATTGGTATCACAGGGGAGGCTGGCTTGGCTATGGCAGTGTGAGCAAGTGTCTGAGTGGCAGACAAGCTTAGGCCCAGAAGAGGTCTGGGTAGTCCGTGAGTGGAAAATACTATGTAATTTAAAGACTAGCAGTTTTTGGATCTTAAGGATGATGCCTGTGGAAGTAATCCAGGGAATCTGGAGAGCATGAGGGTGGAGGAGTTTAGGTCCCTACTTTGGTTTCAATGAGAAGCCTTCCTTCCATTTTTTTCAACTTTGGGGTGTGATTATTAGTGGTTTTATTAAGATCCTGAACAAAAAGACTGGGGAACAAGAAAAAAAAATTTTTTTTTGTCTTTTTCCTTTTTATCGGTACCGGGGATCAAACTCACGACCACCTGCTTGCCCGGCAGGCACTTATGCCGCTGAGCTAAATCCCCAGCCCTGTCAAGAAAAATTTTGAGAGCTTCCAGTCCAGCCCAATTTATTGGAAGCTATCTACCTCTTTTGAGGTCATGTATTAAAGGGCATCAGTCACTTAACTGGCTATAGAACAGATTAACACAAACGTTTTCTAAATGGATGGAGCAAGGGAAACATGGGCTGTGGACCCTTCTCTTCTGATGTGTCCTTTTAAGTGGAGCTGACACGGGGAATCTTGGAAATCTTGGAGAGACAGGACAATAGAGAGGCTTGGACTCTATACTTAGATGTGTTTAGATTTGATTCTCTACTCTAAAACCCAGTAACAAGTTTTTATTTAATTCTCTAATTCTGTTTTCCGAGGTGATAAAACTTGTGTGCTTGCCACATCGCTTCCCAAGCTGTGAGGAGGATTCAATGAATGAATTTATGCAAATTACCTAGCACATTTCTAAGTGCTTGAGGAATATTAATTTCCTCTCCCTCATATCTCTTCATTCTGTTCTCAGTGGTATGGAATGAGCTCAAAGATGCTGGGGAGGCCTTCTACCATCTCTTTTGTTTTGACCCAAATCTCCATGTCCCAACCTTTTCTTCCTTTCTCAGGATGTGGCCACGTTCTGCGAGCCCCAAAAGGTCAGATTTTGTTGGAGAGCTACCCCTTGAATGCTCACTGCGAATGGACCATTCATGCCAAACCCGGGTTTATCATCCAACTGAGGTGAGGGGTTAGGGCCATAGTTCAGGACTCTGAGGCCACCAGGAAACTGTAATGCAATGGAGGACAAAGGGGAAAAGCACTTTATTCTCACTCCAGTGTAGTGTTTTTCCTCTGCTAGACATAATGCTTCACATTTTCCTCTGTGTGGGAACAGAGTAGCTCTGACATCCCTCATCGCCCCCGATATCTCCTGCCCTCCCCTGCCTTCCCTTCTCCTCTCCTCTCCTCTCCTTCCCGCTCTTTTCTTCTCTTCTCTTTTTTTCTGTTCTTTTCTATTCTTCTCTTTTTTTCTCTTCTCTGAACAGTGTTAAGAGTGCAAGTGATTGAAATCCTTGATCCTGTAAGGTATAAACTTTCTGTAAGTATTTTCTGGGTAAATCAATGCCTCGGAGGTTTCCACATCCAGGCTGGCTTCCTGAATGTCCTCTAGAAGGGGCAACCTGGAATTCCAAATTGGAAGGTTCTAGCAAAACTGGCCTCTTTTTCATTACTGCTTACTGAAACTGCCTGTGAGCTAGTTTCCCCATATCCTGAGGTCTTTGGGTTGGTAAAAAGGCTCATCACTTGGGCTTTCCATCAGGAAGGCTAACTCAGGGACCAAAAAATAAGTTCCCTCAAAGTCTCTGAAGAACCTCTCCAAGATCATCCCAAATGTAAAATATTGCACTTAATTTTCCCAAGAAAGAACCCGAGAGACATGGAAATCTAAAATTCCCTTCCATCTATTTTTAACCTGAGTCTCTTGTTGAAATGCAACTCTAATGCTGGAAACCTATACACAATATCCTGAAAGCTCAGCAGTCCTCTATGATGCTCCACTTCTAGCACGCAACACATCCATTCTATGAAAAAAATACATATATGTATCACCTGCTGAATAATCTCAAAGCGTGCACCTCCCTCCACCCACAATGCTGCTTGTCTATTTCAAACCACTGCTGTTTCTCACTGGAATGTTATCCTAGTTCCTAACTGGCTTCACCACTGCTTCCACTTCTGTAGCTCTGCAGTCTCCTCTCCACTGAGTCTAAATCCAGTGATTACCTTGTCATGTGACCTCCAGTGGCTTTCTGTTGGGCTTGGACTATCATCTGAACTCTTGACCAAGCAGGATCTGCCTCTAGCTCTTCTCACGGGCATCTCTTCCTGCTACTCTGTCTTTCACTCACAACTCAAGCACCTTGGAGTTTCTTCCCATTCCTCAAACATGCTGCGTCATCACTGCCCAAGAGATTTTGAGCTTACAGAGCCCCCTGTCTGGAACTCTAAGCCACCATCTTCACAAGTCAGGCTCCATTGCATTATTTAAATCTCTGCTCACGTAGCAGGTCCTCAAGAGGTCTTCCTTGACTGCACTGTGCTGGAAACTTGTGCACTTCGTGCTTTTCCCTGGTTAATTTATGCATAGTGCTTAGTCCTCCTCTTTGGAATTACCTTGTTTTTGTGTTTCCTTTTTTATTTATTATCTGTCTTCCTCATCAGAGCTTATTTCCTTGAAGGCAGGTGCTTTGTCATTGTTGACCCTCAGGACCTCCCAGGGCCCACCTACCCCTTCTGTCACCTTGTTCCACCTGCAGGTTTGTCATGCTGAGCTTGGAGTTTGACTACATGTGCCAATATGACTACGTGGAGATCCGTGATGGAGACAACAGCGACAGCCCCGTTATCAAGCGTCTCTGTGGCAACGAGCGGCCAGCCCCTGTCCGGAGCACGGGCTCTGCACTCCATGTCCTCTTCCACTCTGATGGTTCCAAGAACTTTGATGGCTTCCATGCCATTTATGAGGAGATCACAGGTAAAGGCCATGGAGACAAATGTAGCCAAATGCATTATGAAAGTTTAAAAAAGTTATTCTAGTACCACACATTGCTATTAAACCTTCACAGAATTTTCTTGCTCACTTCCAAAGCACTTTTTCCATTGTTCCAAGAGTTTCTGGAAGTCCTCTTTCATGAACATCTTTTTTAGGTATTATTAAAAATGTGGTGTATGCTGCTGCTGCTATGCCATCCATTGGAAAGGCAGGGTTGTAAAAAACATTAAACCATGTCTTCATACACCTGTTCTCTGGATCCGGCACCATGTGACTGATGGCTCTTCCTCGAGACCAAATGAGGATACTCAGGTAGCTACAGTGCAAGTAAAGACACTCATGAAAAAGGACAGCCAGAGCTGCTTCAGAAAGTGGCCATCATCATGGGATAAATGGGCTCAAAGTAAGGGGAAACATTTTGAAGGGGATTAAGGACAATGTGTCTTTCACTGTAATAAATTTTAAAAATTTAAATATTTACCATTTTTTCAAAAATCTCTCTTTTTTTTGTACCAGGGCTTGAACTCACGACCTTGCGTTTGCCAGGCAGGTACTTATGCCATTGAGCTAAATCCCCAGCTCTCAACTGTATCATGTATAGGACTCTTTTTGCACCTTCAACCTAATCTTACTTCCTGCTAGTAACTGCGCATAACATAGATCTATAATCAGATTGCTTTCTTTATTTATCAGCATGAGCAGGGATACGTCTAGAATTGGACACAGATCTAAAATTGCAGATTCCGGAAAATCACATCCAAAATCACAGAGAGTGATTTTCTCTCTCTCTTTTTCAATTTATTTATGAAGTATTTTAGTACATTTTAAATATAGACAACGATCACTTTCATCATAGGGACCTTGTACCTGTGCATGATTTATCTTAATTCCTTTTTTTCCTCATTGTCTTATCCTCCTTTTAATTCCTCTTTGCCCTTTCACCTACAAAAGCTTTGTTTTCATTTTTCCCTCCCTCCATTCCTTCTCCCAGCTCCCTAATTCCTCATCCCAATTGAATATTTTCTCCCTATTCATAATATCTACCACACAGTCCTTACTTATTCTCTTGGTTTCTCACACCAGAGAAACAATGAAATACTTACACACATATATTCTATTTATTTCCACTTAAGAGTGTGGGCTCAAGGTGTATCCATTTACCTATAAAAGTCTCAAGTCTATCCTTTATGGCTGTGTAGCCTCTATTGTATAAAAATCCACATCATTTTTATTCATTCATTGGTTCATAGGAATTCGGGCTGTTTCTAACATTAGATGTTACAAACTGTGTGCTGCTACACAGCACACACATGGGTGTGCAGACAACACTGTGGTATGATGTTTTTAATTCTTTCAGGAAGATACCCAGAAGGGAAATAGCCAGTTCAAATGGGACCTCTAGTTTTAGTTTTTTGAGGACTCTCCACATTGATTTCCACAGTGGTTGCATGAATCTACATTCCTACCAACAGTGGAGAAAGGTCCCTATTCCCCTACATTCCCACTAGCATTTGTTATTGGTTGATTTCTTGGTAAGAGCCACTCTTTCTGGGCGTGATGGAATCTCAGTGTTGTTTTAACTTTCATTTTTTGAACAATCAGTGATGTTGAGTATTTTTTCATATATTTATTTGCCATTTCTACTTCTTCATCTAAGAAGTGTCTATTCATTTCAGAGTCCCATTTTTGCATTGGGTCTTTAAATTTGAGGGATCTGATTTTTTTGAATTCTTTATATATTCTAGATATTAGTTCTTCTTATCTGAGGAATGGCTGTCAAAAATTTTTTCCTGCTCCATGGGTTGTTTCTTTGCTCCAGTGATGATTTTCCTTTTGCTATGTCAAAGTTTTTTAAAAAGATGAGATCCCATTTGTTGATTCCTTGTAACATTTCCCTTGAAGTCTGGGTTTTATCATAAAGTCTTTGCCTACACCACTGTCTTCAAGATTTATACCTATTTTATTTTCCAGAAGATTTAGTATTTTTATTTTCATTTCAGGTCTTTGATCCACTTTTATTTTAGTTTAGTGTATGATGAGATACATAGGTCTAGCTTGAGTTTTTGAAATGTGGAAAGCCAGTTTTCCCAACACCATTTATTAAACAGACTATCTTTCTTTCAGTGAGGGTGTTTGGCCCCTTTGTTGAAGATAAGGTAGCTGAGTGTGTTTGTAGTTGTTTCTGTATCTTCTAATCTGTTCCATTGATCCTCAGGTCTGGGTTTTTTTTTTTTTTTTTGCCAGTACCATGCTGTTTTTATCACAGTAGCTTTATAGTATGATTTCAAGTCAGGGATTGTGATGTCTCTTGACTTACTTTTGTTCCCCAGAATTGTTTCTGCTATTCTAGGTCTCTTCTGGTTCCAAATAAGTTTTTGGATCATTTTTTTAAAATCTGAGAGACATGCTATCAGTATTTTCATCAATATTTAATTAAATCTGTATAATAATTTTGAGAGTATGGCCTTTTTGAGTTCTTCCATAAAATTTTTCTGTCTGCCTTCCTTTCTTTCTGCTCAGTCTTATTACAACTTATACTGGGCTCTCAGAAGCAGCCTAAGAAGAGAAATTGCCAACCATCTATTAGAAAAGCTCACTCAGATGCAGAAGTAGGAATTGTCACTTATATATACAGAGGAGGTAGCTGGAGCATAAAATGTCTAGATAATGTGTCCAAGGTGACACAGTTATCAGGGCAAAGTAGGGATTTGTACACAAACATTTTGGCTTTAGAGCTTACAGTGTGTGTGTGTGTGTGTGTATGTGTGTGTGTGTGTGTGTGTGCATGTGCTTTCTTCTATCTCTCTGGTCTTCTGTTTCTTAATTAGTGACAAGGGCATGACAATATATTCTGCTCCTTAAGAAGATTCTAAAAGACAGAACAAATAAAGTGGTTGTACACTCTCATAGAGAGTAAGCACTCAATGATTATCCTGCTTCAGGCTAACCCTTAACCTTAACCTCCATGTGCCTCCTTAAACCACAATGGCAAATGTTATTTATTTGATGAATAACTCCAAAGTTGACCTTAACTCCTGCTCTCTTTGATTTAGTTGCAGGTAGGATATGACTGAGATGAGCAAATTGCTGAATTCAAAGGAGTCACCCCGGCTCTCGTTGTTCTGAAACTCAACTGTATTGCATGTCACCAAATGAACCCAAGCATAAAAGTCAATTATTTAATGTACTAAATAATTAGAGTAAAACAAACTTGCAATGCCATACTGATCACTAAGCCTTCGTCAGGAGGAAAGTCTGCTGTGAAAGTCTCAGGAAAGGAGGTAGAAGGTTGAAAAATCAGTGTCTCTTTGACTCTATCCTCTTAGTGAGATCAGCCACTCCCGCTTCCCAGGCCAACCTGCAGCAGTGGCTCTAGATAGTCTGTGTGCCTGTCTGCTTTCCATTCTGTACCCATGGCATTGCGCAGGCTTGGGAATCCTAGATGCTCTGCTGCTGTGGTGTGGCCAGCCTGTGGCTCATCCCATGATGCAACTGTGCAAGCAGAGGCTGAGCAGAATTCCATGCCAGGTGTGTGTGTGTGTGTGTGTGTGTGTGTGCGCGCGCGCGCGTGCGCGCGCGCTTAGGGCTGTCGGTCAATGCTGGGTGTCAGGGAAGCTACCTGGGGCCAGTAGCCATTCATCAGCTTGTGGCTTTGTGACTAAGGGAAGATCTTTCCTTGAAATGAATCCCTCTACCTCCCCAGCAAAACTCTGGAAAATGGTATCCTGCCCTGGTAAATAGTACTACATGTCATTCCTCAAACACCCGTGAGTGTCTGCTTGTATGAAAGTCATTCTCTCAGGATAAGGTCACCTGCCCCAAACTTAAACATCAAAAGTCATCTTTTGTGATATCACGTTCTCTCATCTCTGATAGATACTTTCCCTTACTCCAATCAGCTATAACTTTACGTTTTTTTGACTATGCTGTAGCAATTTTTCTTAATACATGAACTGTGCTTGATTCAGGTTGTAGGTATTGAATACTTTTCTTTCCATAGCCTTGATCTACTAGGTAGAACATCCTACTTATCTATGTATCTCTCCAGTGCTTTCCACAGAGCAAACATTCAATACAGATTTGCAAAAGTGAGCCTAGGAATGTATTTCTACATTGGGATAAATGTGTGTTGGAATGGTGACTAGCACACAGACTAGTGTTTCCCAGGTTTTTTTTTTTTTTAGATACTCCCAAGATGCTCTGTAAAATGTGGGTTCTGGGGTCAAACAAGCTTGGGAAAGACTGAATGTGGTGTGCCTTCTCACAGTGTGTGTTATGGTCTTGAACTGATCTGGTTAATTATCATTGGATGCCGGAGCATTTCTCTAGTGGAACTGAGCCCAGATTGCTTATATAGTTGATGTATCAATATGGCAAGGGACTAATGTTTACAGCCTGTATGTTTGGAAATTCTTGAGTACAACTTCAACGGGGTCATAAAGATATGTGCCTGGGGCTGTCTTTGTTACCAGGATGCTGAGCCTTCTTGAAAGAATGTACTCAAAATCTACTCAAGGATTCTTCTGGAGTCCATGTGGGAGTGACATAAATATGCTTCTACTTTCATTAACCTAATGCTCCTGTTTGTGCTTTCTTTATGCCTCTCAGACTAGAGGTACCTTGAGCATACATCCGAGGCCTTCAGCTGTGTCAAGTAGCACTAGCAGCACCCAACATTTACTAAGTACCACCTTTAGGCATTGTCAAATAGTAGGAACATAAATTTAGTGCAAAGAATAAAATTGTTGGAAGAAATCAAGTGAAAGACTTGTGTGAAGACTGTGGCCTTGGAGAGACGGAATCACTGCACCATGACACTAAGGAATGTCTTTTTCTTCGCAGCCTGTTCATCATCCCCTTGTTTGCATGATGGCACGTGTGTCCTGGATGCAAGTGGATCTTATAAATGTGCCTGCCTTGCAGGCTATACTGGCCAGCGCTGTGAAAACTGTAAGTATGCCTCTTGAGTGGAAGTAAAGGTGTCACATGGTGTGGCATTGAGAGGAGTTTGAGAGCACATAGGGCAGGTTTTCCTTGGTGTCTAGGATGGACCGTCCAAGATTGCAGATGGTCTGGACATCACACTGAATGACCTAAGAAGGCCAGGACTGTATGTATGGAACTCCCTACATTGACTACTGACATTTGCAGTCCTTACCTGTTGCAAATACCCTTGACAAAAGATACAGTGATCTCAGGTAGTATTCAGAGCTCAAAAATCCCAAGACAAAAGTGAACAGTAGGAAGCTACCATCATCATATTTCCTGTGGCTAAGAGTCTGAACTTCCTGTCCATCCTAAGATCTGTAACTTAGAGTTACCCTCCTGTGCACACTCAGGACTTCAATGTGATATTATACAGTTTGAATTGAGCATGGTGGTGGCCATGAGCCTCAGTTTCCAGGAGACAATCCCATTTTATGCATTTGATCTTGCAATATTATTAATAGCACCCTCTCTACGCTTAAAGCATCCTGAATTGGATAAAATTGCATCATCTTACAAATAGGAAATGAAGTTAGGTAAGTTGTATGCAAAGCAGATAACATTTATTGTGGATCAATGTCTGTGGAAACTCAAAAACAGGATCCTTTTTCTTTCTATGAAGGAGCTTATGCTGAGTTAGTGAGATAAGCTTCATACTTCTTCACTGGTTTTAGATCAGGCCTGGAATGAAATGGGGCTGTGGGAGGTGGGATAGAAGAGAAGAATCATAACAGAAGGAAAAATCCTTCCACCAGTGGCTTGCCACAGCTATTTGTCTCTAGGACAGTTCTCCTTTAACCATTCAAATCCTTCTTCGCAGCCTGCTACCTAAGCCATATTCTCCCTTTCCTTTCCATTTACCTTTCCATTTTCTTCCTCCTTTTTTCTCTTCTCCTTTCCTCTTCCCTTCCTTCCCCTCCACTCCTTTCCTCTCCCTCTCCATCCTCACTTCTCCCATCTCTCCCCAACTCCCCTGTCCTTCACCCTATTTTTCCTCTCCTCTTTTGCTGGTGATTGAATCCAGGGCCACGTACATGCTAAGCACACGCTTTACCACTATGCCACACCCCAACCCCGAGCCACTTCGTGATCATCCCACTGAAGCAGCTAAATTTTCTGCTCCTTAAAGACAGTAGTCAAAAACAGAAAAGTCATAGTTGCTCAGTAATTTGGGGTCATCTAAACAGCAAAACGAAGGGAAACCTACTTAAACAAGCACTCCACTCCCACATGGACAGAAGTTTCTAATGGATGTTCTTAAAAAAGCAGGACACAGTTCTCTGATACTAGATTTGAGCTTTTGCCAGAGAAGAGGGAAACTTGAATCTATCAAGTCTGAACTTGTTTGATAGGGCAAATCTTTCATCCTTGGGAGCATCACACCAACTGCTGTGTATGACAGCACGAGGACTATCCCACCATGTGGTGGCATGTATTGTGCACAGTCAAAGAGGAATTTCAGTACTATGTATGTTAAGAAATAACTTATCCAAAATGTCTGCTAACTAACCTGTGTATGACATGTATTCCAACAGAAGTTAGAGACCTAAAGTAGCTGTCATTGAATGCATGGAATGAGATGTTCACAAGAACAAGAAAAATCAAACTTTAGAGAATAACAGAGAAGTAGAAATAATGTCTTAGCAGGGTTCCTCAGCACAGATCCTTTAGAGTCAGAGAGGAGAAACAAAAATAGAGAATGCTTAACTCTTTGATGAACTGACCACACAATAAACAAAGAGGAAAGTGGAAAAAAAAATCACCGCACAAGCCAAATTGTCTTTTAAAAACTGTTTCAAATCAGGGAAGAACAAAAAGCTGTTCTAAAAGTTATGATTTATATATATATATATATATATATATATATATAAAGCTACCCATTATATATATATATATATATAATAGCTTATAAGTAAAAATGAGTTTCTCAATATTGTTGTTCCACCAAGAAAAAGCACACATTATGAATAAAGAAAGCAGAATAAGGCATTTTGCTCTTATTTGTAACTTGATCAAATGGTCTCAAATCACTTTAAAACACCAGCATAGGAAAGAGGACTCTCCCTTGCCAGTTTTCAAAATGTAGCTCAAAACCCATAATTCCTCGATGTCTCATAATTACGGCAGGATGAGGATACCAGCAGTGGAGATCTGATATGTTATTTGCTAGCATCAACATGGGGGATCAAATGTTTACTATTTTCTCTGAGATCCTGGTTTGTTTTTCCTTGAGGAAATTTGATATAAGTTCTAAGTCACTCACTGGGGGAGCATCACACAAATTAGCCATGACAGTTTACCTTCTAATTTCTGAACAAATCTTAGTGGTTTTTTTTCAGAGCAATCTTTCTGCTAGAAAAGCAAACAAGAAGAAAAAATATGAACTCTGTTTCCCACATAGGGTATCGGTGAGCTGGAACAATGTCTTTGGAGGGAATTCTTTCAAAATTAGGAAGAAACTAAAGCATTCTGCGATATTTCAAACTCTTAAATACCTAGATTGGGTGCAGTATTCGTTTAAAAAAATACCTTTAAGGGTACTGAATCTGATGTTAATAAGAATTCTGTGTTTTATTTATATTATACCACATTCGATGAGAGAGAGCTCCTTCTAAGCTACAGCTTTAGCAGTCTATTACTAGTCTTTGTAAGAAGGTAGATGCTCCTTTTTGCAGGTGAAAGATTCAAGATAGAAGATGGAAACCCTAGTCCCATTAAAATCAAACCCAGAGGTCAGAATTGTATATTTCCCGTGGAATTCACAATGCTTCTGACATAGTTGTTGCCGTATGACTTGGTGAGACCCCAAGTAATGATTGGTGAGTTCTGGGTATCCTTGTACCCCATTAGTGGGTTCTCTCAATGATCTTTCCTTCCTAGGAAAGGCTGTTCTGCCTCTCTGTTCTAAAGACAGTTCTCAATACTATTTTATTTTCTTGGTACACGCACATGTCTATAAGTGAGAGTGCCACAGAAATAGATTTGTACTTAATTTCAGAAGCAATGTAAATGCTTAATTACTTAATTTCAGGAGCACTTGTAAAATGCAAATTAAATAATAGTATAGAGGTATATATAATAAAGACAGAATAATATTTTTTCTGATCAGGTCTGGTTCCCAGGGGAACCACTGTTAGAAACTTGAGGTTAGAAACTTTCAGATTTTTTAAATGGTGTTTAAAGCTAAATTTTGTGTACATTATTCTTTCTCATCTGGTGGTGATTTTGCTCTCCATCTTAAACCCTAGGTTACAATTGGCCATGTCTGAAGACAGTTTTGATTGATATAATGTTGTAATACTGGTCAGGGGGCCAGTGGGGTGATGCTGGCATCTAGTGGGTGGATGTCAGGAATGCTACTAAATATCCTAAAATGCATAGAACAATCCCACAACAGAGTTATTCAGCCCAAATGTCAGTAGTGCCAAGATTGAAAAATAATTTTAATTAAAAGTGGATTAATTTATGCATTAACATTTTCAGCTTATTTTTAGTGCCCATGTTATGAGTATTTTTCCAAGTGCATTGATCTACTTCATTTGGAAAAACTATTGTTCCTTATGATTCCTTAAAATGGATTTTACATATAGATAGATAGAGATTTTTTTTGCTAATATGAAGAAGACTGCCATGCACATCCTTGCATGTTTTTTTCCTATGGAGAGATATTTTCATAAGGTAATTCTTAGATACTAAACTCTTAATTAAAAGGGCACACATATTTAAACTCAGAACAACTGGAGAAAAGGTCACTAAAGCTACAGGATGAGTCATTCCTTTTAAACATCAGTTCTCAAAATACTTATTGGGATTCATACTTCAGAAACTATGATCATTTCTTGTCAAAACAGAGATTTTTTTTTTTCTGTGACAGGGTCTCATTCTGTAGTTCAGGTTAGCCTTGGACTCACTGTATAGTCCAGGACGGCCTCAAACTCACAGCAATCCTCTTCCCTCAGCCTGCCAAATGCTGGGATTATAGGCATGCGCCCCATGCCAGGAAAAAGATGGAATTGTTTTCAAAGGAATTCCATCCATCTATGGAGAGAGTTCTTCTTCAGACTTCATGAGATAGTAGATAAAGAACAAGAAACAATGAGCAAGGTTTGGTTTAGTTTCTAGGATCACATGCAACCCCCTAACCCCACAGGGGAGTCTTCAAGGCTGCTACTGCAGGCTTCACCTACCCTCAATTGTTTCCCAAGCAGGACAAACGTTCCCCTGCTCTTCAGTGACCTTCTCCTAGGGGAGTGGCCCCCTCCTCAGCCTCTAGGCCGAACTAGCCTCCTGCCAGCATCCTCTGCAACGTCCAGCCTCCCTGGGCCACCGTGTGAGGAACTGGGGGCCCTTTTTTCCTCTGAAGTTTCCTGTTCCTTTGTAGGGAACACAACGACAAAATAAGTCCTTGAGTAAATGGTCAGAATCTTGTTTTGAAGAAGTGGAGGGCAAGGGATTCACGGCCTGTTCCAATTTCCATGTTGCTTTTGTTCCTCTGGCCCAGTTGAAGAGGCCGGGGTGTCCGCCTTGCATCCTAATGAAGGGCGATGAAACAGGGTGACTCTCAGGACACAATGCTCACTCAGCGGGCTCTGCCACGTCTTGGAACAAAACAAATCGGTCTCCACCAATTAAAGGCAAATGGTAAATCTGGATTCATTTGGGTTTTGGAGTCACAGGTTTCCCACTGGCCTGTCCCAACCACTGTGAAGAAAAGAGCCCAGGATGAGAGACACACTGTATGCTTCAGCTTCAAAGGAGAAGCCTGCATTTCTCATCAGAATAAGTGATTAGAAACGCTGAGGTTTTCACGAAAACATTAATATTGATGCACGGGAGAATGTATGAAAACCTCTAGTGGGTAGCAATCATCTCTCCCTCACAGATAGATAAATAATATTCCATAGGTTCTGTGAGATTTATGCAAATTACTGTTTGATCTCTCAGGTGAAGCATCTTAAGTGAAA